TAACATATATATATATATCTATAAAGTGTAGTGTTTTAATAAGAGGGCCGCATGTGGCCCGCGTGTTGGACCATGCTAGTGTAGAATATGCCAGCAGCAATTCGAAATGTCTGATATATTGACATCTAAATCTTAATTTTAGAGTAATTTCCCATTTGAGGTCCTCAAGGGGAAAAAAAAAAGTGTATATTTGGCGATATTTTAAACCGCGTTAATTCAAAATAAAGTAAGCATTGAAAGAAAAGTTTTTGGTGCATTATATTGTTTTATTCAATTAGTATGTTATCGAACAAATCATGGACAAGTTTTTAAAATAAATACTGAGAAAATGTACGATCAGTATACAGAACTAATAGATTTTAAAAATTAATACACATGTACTTTCATTATTAGTAATATCAAGACAGAGCCATATGAGGACTTGGCGAAAAAGGTGGCTTCCACAGACGCAACCAAATTTGGGAAAAAAACAACAAAAAAAGAATTAGAGAGCCGGTTGAGAGTTACGAATTAGGTTGTGTTTCCGCGATTCCTCTTCCCGCGAAATCGGAGAGTACAGTCCTCCTCCCACAGATCCTCAGGAGATGTCATGATCAGTCATTAAGAAGAGCTGGACAGTTTCTTTGTGACTAAGTTAGTCTTTGTTAGACTGAAAACGTCTTAGTTTAGGCTCCTCTCGAAATCTTTATTTTCATTCTATTTGTAATTCTGCTATTTTCACATCTTATGTTAATCAATATGGATTGAAGCTAAAAGGGGGAAAAAACTTTAGCTCTTTATAAAGGTTATCAATATCGAATTCGGAACAGATATAACGAAAATGTAGCTTATTGGATTTGCATAAATGAAAGAATTAAAAGCTGCAAAAGCGCAGTTGAGACCAAAGCTGAAGTCGTTTAAGAAAGTCATTTTAGAACGAATATTTATTCTGAAAGATTTTATTATAAATCACCTTTACACAAAGTCTTGGAAGAATATTGTTTTTTACTTTAAGAAACAATCTTTTAGTTCATTGCCAAAATCACTCCAGAGTTTGTACGTCTCTCTCTCCCACCTTTTAAATACAGTATTAGCTTCATTCATGCAAAGATCCGTGATCGTAAATATTTTTCGATTTAAAAACTGTTTTTTTTTTTCCACGTCTAAATATTTTTTCTTTTTTACATTTCGCGAGAGGCCAAGGTACACTCGGCCACTCATTATGTAACCTCTTTGGGAAGAGGATTAATGAAGATTGCTGATTTCACGGAAACAGGAAGACACCGAGAGTTACACGTGATTTTTAATTTATTCTTAACTTGACTACTTACTTCTAGTTGACCACTGTACTTAACTCTGAATGAATTAATACTGGCTGTGACTAGCCTTTTTACGTCTCATGACCAATTAGACACGTATTATTACACGTACATCACAATCCCTTTCTTTCTTAGTGCGGCGGCGCACAGGTTATTTACTGCTGAGCAGCTGGAACAGTCTATATAAACATCCGTGGATGATCGCATGCCCAGATGCGAAAAATATAACTCGGACTGATATTTTTCTTTAAAAAAAATCATTTATACTTTCTGTTCGTTCAACTGAATTAAATCTGCCTTCTACAAGTAGTTTCATGCGAAACTGAAACAGAAAAGTATCAGTGAACATCAAAACAGGAAATCAAGAAGCAATGTACGTATAATGATGATAATTATATGGTTGACGTTAAATTAGAAAATATTGATAAGTTGGTTACAGTAACAAAATGACTAAAGATATATCGAACAGAAATAAATCGATATTTTTTTTCGGTTCAGTTCCGGTTCGAAGCCTTGGAAACAGCAGCCTCGATCTTGTTTTGTGCTCATTGGGTAACATGTGCCAGATGACCTGCAGTGAGGCTCGATTCTCATTGCAAAATTGGAACACGTTTTCGGACAAGTGTTTCGGCCTCTCAAACACAAAGCAGAAGCGCGCCATATCTCCCTCATGAAACGAATTCGGTTTTCTTTTAGATATATCTAGAGAAAAGTGAAGCGCTTTCAGATGACCAAAATCACTTTTCTGGGTGTAGATAACGAAATATTAAGCCAAGCTACATAAAAATCGTGAGAAATTTTAAGAATAAGAGAAAGTCAGGAGAAATATTGTTATGAAATGACAGGCACGGTAAGATGGCTTCCCCACAAAGTAGTTTTAGGGTTACCATAAAATGGCAAGATAAGGCAGGGTTGCCACATTTGGCGACAAAATTGGCGATATACCATGGACGGTTGGAGAACCTTCTGGAACGAATTCTTACCGGTTTAGACCAGAATGTTCCCGAACACAAGCCAACAACTTCAACAAGTGTTGTCGTTATTCACTCCAAACCTACGAACCCCGTACGTACATGAAGGAAGAAAATAACGTAACAATTGGTGTCAGATAAAACAAATGCTACAATATGTTGCAAATTGGGTTGGCAGAAGTATGGTCAGAAATCGGGAGTCTCCGACTTAAATAATACAACTCTTGAGTACAGATTTCTAAGCTATCAACTTCCTTGGTCATAGCAGTAGAAACTCCGTCATCGATTTGTTGTACAACAGCAGAAACTCTTTCTCCGATTTGTTGTTCGGCACTCTTTCACCAACTTTATTTTCATCTGTGTGTATTCAGCCTTCCACAGCCCCAAATTAGTTTCTGTTATGGTAGTAATTTCTCAAAATCATTTCCTTAAGTGCAGCCAAAGGGTGTCAGCAGTTGTCTTGAATGCTTATCCATTGCTCTTGTCAACAGCATTATTTCCCACTTCTGATAGCAAAAATTGTTGCATGCATATATGGGTTTGTAATAGACTGAACACACACACAGAACTGATGATAGCTTGATAAAACTTATTTATCCAAAAGAAACAATTGTGGAAACTTCTACAACTGTGCTTACACAGGTCTTCTCAGTAGTTACCACTTCAAACTACTAATGTTTAAACACAACAGAATGCAAAGTGCATCCAAAGATAGAAGCTCTCACGGAGATTTCTCAATACTGAATTCAGCTCTGAACTAAAAATTATTAACATGCTCTCTCCAGGCTTATATATTTTTCATTCAGCTGCCAAGAAATCTCTACTACCTTCTATATATTGAAATAACTGGAAGGCATATACAGTTACATATAGGCATCAATTACAATTATTAAATTTCAATTACATAGGCGCCTGACCAAAATATTACCAAATGTTCGGAAAGTATGGTGACAAAATTTAGTAGTCAAAACCACTGACATCTTGCCAATTTAAGAGGATAGCTATTTATCTGAATCTTAAATAGACTTGCCCTTGTAATATTTCTTTCCTGGCAGAGCTTCGCTTTTTCACGCACTTCATGTTGCATAATACAAAGATACAACAATTTCACTAAAATTATTTACATATATACAAAATTTGTAACAATATTTACTTACATTTAGCAGTTTTCAATTAGTGGTCATACTTTCATAACTAGTTGAGGAAAAGACATATATTTGCTCTTACAAGGTTTAGCAAAAAGGAAATTTAAGGTGTGGAAAAACTGATCAGAACTGGGAAAAGTTCTGAAAATAATTTTATTGCAGGAAAATGCTTCTTACTGCAGATTCACGTGCACATATGATATACTTTTCATACAACATGTAATACTTCATTACAATATTGGAGAAGTTAAACGAGAATCAACTTACTGTTTGTAAATTTAGCAGGACTAGTTTCAATGGTTTAAATACAAAACTATCATTTTCAGCTGCCTAAGTGCAAAAACTGATCTTTGTACTAAATTAGAAGCTAGTTCTGCATTTAAACCATCAAAACTAGTCCTGGAAAATTTACAAACATTACATGGATTCTTATTGTTTAATTTCTCCAATAATCGTTGGCATGCTACTTTAAGCTTAACTTCATTACATATTAAATGTATCATGCAAACAAGGTTAGTAAAAATATTATCAAAAATTTATTTTAAGATAGTAAGATATACTGGATTGAATAGAAATACCAGACTAAGTTCCAACAGCAAAACAACTTACATCTGTCACAACAGTTTACTTTCATCTAAATGTAATAAAAGTAACTAGTAGACACTTGCAAAACAAAATGTGAGCAATTCGATGATTTTCCTTCAAACTGAAAATTCGACGAAACAGTAAAGAAACATTTTTGATAAAGCTGTGACATTTTCACATAAATTTGAATAATGTAAATTACAGCAACCTCTAGTCAAAGGCAGTAATTACACACATTAGTTTTTCATTTGGATTTCATTTGGAAAGGTCCAACATTAGAAAAAGTAGCGCTGTAAAATGATGGTTAAAAATAAGTAAATGCAACTATATTTGGCAATTGAGCACTGCTTTGAAGTTTTTTAAAATGATGCCAAATTTTGGCAAAGTTTTACTATGGAGATAAACTTCATATTTAATTATATTTTTTTATATTATCTACTATAGCTTTAGATTATTTTTAACGTGTTTTATAAATTAAAGAACAGAAATTGTAGAAAATGTACACCAATACCAAACAGTTTTATATTTGTAATCTAAAACTCAATACTTAACAGCATACAAGTCTGACCTCATTCCCTCATGAAACTATATAACTCCATCCCCTACAGGTCAATTCTCTCCTGGTTAAGAACCCTCACTATAGGGATATATCACTCTTTCTGAATAGAAGGCAGCATCAAGAACTTTGTTCAAAACCAATCTGAAGTCCAAGATTGGTAAACCTACCCTTTAAGTACTTGAATAAGAGCACAATTCTGCACCATCTAATAATAAATTTGCAGCATTTTTTAAAGGTGCAGTTGACACACACAGGAAGCAAAATATTCAAACAATACCTTTCATCCATTAAAAAATAAAACTGATGAAGAATTTTCACAAATTCTTTCAGTCAGTCAGTTCGCACATAGCTGAGTGGAACAATTATCAACAATATGATAAGAGTTCTTTAGTACTTAAGAAGCACATAAAATTGTTAAGAATTTCATTTTCAGAAAACACTATTTAATAAAGTAATAAAATTTATTGGTTCTCATACACAGTATACAAAAACAAAAACAGTACTGTATTATCTACAAGATGATACATAAAAACATGGCACACCTAAACAGGGATGGATCTGAAGAGCAATGTACAAATAAATCCATTTAAAGATTCCGTTTTCATAAGTCTCCAGAATTTTATAATTTTTCCTGGGGTAAGGGAACAGCATTCTGCTTTTAAATGCATTAGTTATAAAAATAACTGTTTTAAACTACAAAATATTTTTAGTGTCTCTTCAATCACTTCTGAGAAAGAATGGTTGAGATTTCACTCCATTGCCTAATTGATTTTTGGAGTTTTTGACAGAAACCCTTCACTTTATTTATTATTATTATTATTATTATTTTTGTGAACTGATATGCTACATTTATAAGGATTATTCTTAATGGTTTGCAAAAGAACTATATAACAAATCAATGGGAAAATACAGACACTCGTAGTAGGAACAATTCCACAAATACATAAATACTATGTACATAATAAATGCCTTTTCCCCCCTTGGATTATTAGATTTTAACAGCATATAAAGAAATTTCAATTAAAGGTAATTCATATTTATCTTGACAATAGATACATATAAAAAAAGTTGGTTCTGAAGCATACTATACTGCAAAACCCGTATAAAAATCATTAGTATAATACCAAAAACTGTCAATATCATTAGCTAAATTTAATTTTAAATGCACAATATACAATATAATATGTTTATCCACTACAATACGATTAAATGGCATATATAAATATAAAAATAGAGTGGCTCAAATGACAGCAATGTAGGACATTGTGCACTACAATAGGATTCATTTGCATATAAAATTTAAAATATAGCAGTTCATATTTCAAAAAACAAATTGTTATAATTCTTGAATCTTGGGCATCATTATAATATAAAGGAAAGTATATTAATAATAATAGCTAATATTCCTAATCTGAATGTAACTTAGCTAACTTCAGAACATTTTAGTCCAAAAAAGAAAGGCTTCAATGAGCAGGAATTCTTGTTACTTGAAAGTCATTTACATTATCTGCAAGTAACAAGAATTTGGAACTGTAATTTTTAATTATACTTCTCAATATTATGCTAGAATTCTATGCTTTTAAAAATAAGTTTCTGTAATTAATTTTTAAAATTTCAATACATACTGAAATATTTTTCTCTTTTCCTAGCTTAAAGAATTTCTTTTGAAAATGCCTGAAATGCAGCATTTTCTTCTGTACATCAGTAAAAGTAACCTTAGATAAAATAGCAAACATAGTAAAAAATAACACTTCACCTGGTTATAATGGTATATTTTTTAAGTTCTCATCAAACTTCTTTACCCTGGGAGCAAAAAAGGGAGGGGAGAGTTATTCTACTACAACAGTTTACACAGCTCTACAATAAACTATTTTTTCCCCAGCGGAATTCACATCACAGCCCTCTTCACATAATGCACCCACCTATGAGAAAGCAGTGAAAGGATACTACATTATGCAGTCTGAGCATAGACTGACAAATTTCATAATATTCAGACATACAAATAGAAAGTATTCCCTAATTATAACCAGGTTTATAAACTTTCTAATGATGTTACAAAATCATTCATATATTAATGGAGAGGGAGTACTAATTACAAAATCAGAATAATACTTTTATACAAAAATACACAAATCAGCATATACTTCAAAGTAAACTAACAAGTATGAATAAAATGTCTTCACTGCGGACATATACTCAATAGATGACTAGCCACACATTTCATCTGAATTGCACCAAAAAATGATACTTTCCTTCATATAATGTAAAATACAGAAATAATTAATTAAAACAATAAAAATATTTTATCTACTGCATAGGATATGCAATTTCTGATAGTTATTCCAGCTCAAAATTACTTAAGTTCATTTATCTATACTTCTTGTATATATAAATTTACAACCTGCTTTCAATAAAGTCATATACAAGTATATATGCTGCACATTAAAAAAAATATATTTTTCAGAAGTATATATGTTTAACAATTCTAAAATACATGTTAAAAAAAAGACTAAAATATACAAGTACATTCTATAGAATTCATATCAAATATATGGGAGAGAAAAATAGTTGGAAGTACAGTAAAATTGCTATATTTTTTACAGCTATATTGAAGTAATTTAAGGTAATCAAACTGTATCCCACTGTTATGTACACATCCCAGATAAATTTTACCATTTAATAATTTCAAAACACTACTATATAAAGTAGAAGTCAAATGAGATAAAATAACTTCTATTTCACTTGGACATTATAATATTTGTTTCTTTAAGCTCTTCTACGCTATCGTACTTTTTCAGAGTAAGAATAATAAGACTTTTCTTCATAAAGACAATTTTCTAAAATCCTACAATTAAATTTAAAGCTTTCATTAGAGAAATACTGAAAACGAACTTTTGCGAAGGTGAAAAGTTACGCAGCTTACGCATAACATTCATATGTCATATAAGATTTATTTTCAAATTATGAGCCCAAAGGCTTATATAGATTGTATTTTACAATCTAATAAACATTTCAAATTACAAATGACAACTGCTACAAATTTGGCACTTATACCAATGAGCATAACAGTAGCATATCTATTTTGCTTCACAGAACAAAGAAATATTCTTCAGATTCACAATTTTAATAAGTTGCTATCAGATATTATTACAACCATGTCATAAATAAATTACAAATATATAAAAGTTAGTATCAGATTTGATGATATTACTCAGATTTCATTAGAATGCATGTTGCGAGTGATTCTGATACTTTTTCTGGAAGACGTTTTACTACTTTTTATCATGATTCTTAATAGTTAAATTTATAGTCTGCCGTCTTGCTTGGACAACATTTCTTAAATCAGACACCGTTAAAACTAACTATTTCCAAGTTGAAATAAACACTAATAATTTCTGTTTTGGCAAATTTAATGATAAATGTTGATTTCTTGGTAATTAAATAACATGGTCCCATTACTTTATTAAAAACCTGTATTATTATGGCATTTCAGGTCTTTTAAAAAGTCAAGGCAGTTGCTGTCATATGCATTATATTTGTATATATAAAAAAATATATAAAAATTGGTATCATGGTTCTGTCTTCAACACAAGCTCTTTACCAATAACTTCTTCATAAGAAGGAGGGGGATCAGAATCCTCTGATATCTATTAAAAAAGGGATAATAATGTTTACACACACACACACATACAGACATATATATATATATATACACACACACATAAATATAGTAATATGAAGTATATACACATATACATAAAATACAGTAATAAGAAAATGCTAATTTAATATACAAAACAGTTAACTCTAGAATTGGTTTGACAGTTTATATCCAGACACAGTACATTTCTTCTTGCTCTCTCACTGTTATTTAAAATCTGTTGTTCCCTTTTTTCTTAATCCTAATGAAAGGTTGGTTATGAAAATAAAAGCTAGAACAGAAACCTTACTAATAAATCATGGGTGTCTTAAAGTGTGGCCCAAATGCAAATTATGAAAGTAATTAAATTTACACATTTTTATTAAAAAAAATAAATGTTTGATTTATATATAATCGATTTACTGATATTTATTTAAAAATAAAAACATCTCAGTATGTCAAGATGTATTAAAACCCTTCACATATGCGAAATCCGTCTCGTAATACCGGTCACGTGAAAAATAACATGCGTAAATTTATTTCACTTATTTTCAATATGGAGCCCATTTTTTCTCCCTGTAGGCTAAGAATATTATAATATTCATACTTCTCGTCTCGTTTTGCACCTAGATGGCACTACAGGTTTATATCATTGTAAGGGGGTACTACTGCTTCTTTCATTCTTGGCGGGAACTGTCTTTGTCATTTGCGGGACCAGAATTTCAGGTTTATAAGTAATAATAATTAGTACAAGTAATATTATTAGCTATATAAATTAGTTAGCATGTAGTTCAATTTATACTTTTGTAATTTACAACTCGTAAAATATTTAAATACATGCTAAAACCATTCCATCTGGTATATTTTACCACACATGAGAATTTACGTTTTAATTTATGTGTGTACACTGACTACCAATAAGTATTTGGACACCTATGCAAATGACGATATCTGCTATAATTATCGGGTATCACAAATGTGGCCGATCTTTAAGGGACATATCTAGCGATCTGAAGTACCCAAAATCGACAATGGCCTATGTGATTAAGGAGTGGAAGGTGAGCGGTGATTGTCAGAATGTGCCCCGAGTTGGCAGACCAACGAAACTGGGAGATAGAGACCGACGAGTGCTGTCTAGAGAAATTCTGAAGAACCGCACCCAATCGATGGCCCTCATCTGCAAGGAGTTTCAGCAGGCATCCGGGAGTATTGTTTCAATGAATACCATCCATAAGGAAGCACATCTGCTTGGTTTTCATGGTCATGCTGCTGCCCATAAGCCTTTGATCACAAAATCCAACCTCGCTGCTCGGTTAATGTGGTGCAAAGCACATCGAAATTGGACCGTAGATCAGTGGAAACGGGTTCTTTGGAGTGACGAATCAAGGTTCACCCTTTACCGTTCGGAGGGCAGGGTCTGGGTCTGGCGTCTACCTCGAGAACATCTCCTGCCAGAATGCATTGTGCCAACAGTCAAGTTCGGCGGAGGTGGAATAATGGTCTGGGGGTGTTTCTCCTGGTATGGGCTGGGACCCTTGGTCCCCATTCATGGTAAGCTCAACTCCGATGCCTACTGCACTATTTTGGATGACAATGTGCTTCCTACGTTGTGGCAGTTTTAGGGGTTGGACCCCTGTTACTTTCAGGATGACAATGCCAGTAGTCATGTTTCGACATTAACCAAGGCTTGGTATGGTGCCAATGGAGTTCATCGAATGGACTGGCCTGCCCGGAGTCCAGACCTGAACCCTATCGAGAACCTCTGGGATGAGTTGCATCGCCGAATTCAGGGGTGCACTACCCGTGCGAAATCGGTGAAGGAACTTCTGTCTTCTTCAAGCCGAGGAAAATACCACTAGCTGTCATACAAAGACTTGTGGAAAGTATGCCCCGGAGGGTCCATGCTGTAATTACCTCTTGTGGAGGCTCTACCAACTATTGATTTTGAATAAAGTTAGGTTTTCTTTTCTATCACAGGTGTCCAAATACTTATTGGTAGTCAGTATATCCACTCAATTTTATAATTCTAAAAAGAATCAACTGTTAATTGTCAATGTCGTTTTGCGATCATTAAACTTAAAAAAAAAAAAAAATTAAATATGTATACACATTTTTGATGAGTTACAATATTTGTATGCAGTATATTGTATTTTAAGTTCTTAATTCTTGTGCCAAATTCTTAAAAAGGGGTGAATAATTCATATTCATTATGGATATTTGCTTATAAAATTTAGATATATAATTTTTTTAGATGGCAAGATGAAAAAAGAGTTTTTAATGAAAAGTGGAAGGAGAAATACTTTATTCTGGAGAGTAGTAAAGCACTTTGCTTTATTAGTAGGGACTTGGTGCAGTTTTAAAGACTACAGCTTGAAATGACATTAGAGTCAAAAGCATGCCACAAAATATGATGTATAACTTGGCATTTGTCGTAAAGATAAAATAAGAGAACTAAAAAAAGGTCTCTTTTGCTTTATTAGTAGGGACTTGGTGCAGTTTTAAAGACTACAGCTTGAAATGACATTAGAGTCAAAAGCATGCCACAAAATATGATATAACTTGGCATTTGTCGTAAAGATAAAATAAGAGAACTAAAAAAAGGGCTATCATCTGAAGAAAATAATAATAATAAAAAAAAAGACAGCTACTTAAAATAATAACATTGCAAAAGTTATCTCACAGCAAATTTAATAGCAAAAAATTAAAAACCTTTATTGATGGCGAATTTATAAAAGGAAAGCGTAGAAAACATAATTTGCCCTGAAAAAAGATTTTTCTAAAATCAGTTTATCCACACCTAACTATAGCCACAAGAATTGAAGAGTTGGGGAATTTAGTTGAAAAATCTTAGCAAATGCATCAATTTTAAATTTTATTCGCTAGGCATGGACAAAAGCACTGACGCTTCTGATACGGCACAACTGGCAATCTGCCAGAGGAATTGATGAACATTACAATATCATGGAAGAAACGGTTGCTTTAGTGTCGTTAAAGAACACAACCAAGTCTGTAGATTTATTCAATGTATTAAAAACGACAATGAAAAGGTTTTCCTTATCTATGAAAAATTTATTAACTATCATAACTGATGGAGCCTCTGCTATGGTTGGTAAAAATGGGGGACTTGTTCAAATGGTTAATAATGATGCCATCACTGCCAGTAATATGATGTTAATGGCATATCATTGTATTGTACGTCAGAGCAATTTATGTTGAAAATTTAAAAAATAAAAAGTGTTATAAAAACCATTAACTTTATAAGAGCAAAAGGACTTAATCATAGACAATTTCAAGATTTTCTTAAGGTAATGGGTACCGAATTTGCAAATGTTATTTATTATACAGAAGTGAGACAGCTCAGTAAGTGGGAAATGCTTAAAAGATTTTAAGATTTAAGAATTGAAATAAAAATATTTATGGAAACAAAAGGGAGACCTGTGACTGAATTTGAAGATTGGATTTTAGATTTAGCTTTTTAGTAGACTTAACAGAACATGTGAATGATTTAAATTTGAGACTTCAAGGAAAAAAAATCAACTTATTAATATGTTCCAAATAATAACAGCATTTGAAAGAAAGTTAAAATTTTGGCAAAATCAAATAAAAGTAATTGACACATTTCAGTACTTTGGCTGCACATAAACCTGTGAATTGCACAAAATATGTAAAATATGCTGCATTAATTTTTTGATTTAATTCAAGAGATTGAAAGTAGATTTCAAGATTTTCGAATAAATATATTTTCCAACCTCATTTTCTCTGGAAATAAGTAAATTACCTTCAAATGGAATGCAGTGAACTGCAAAGCGACATTCAACTGAAAGAAAAATTTGAAAAATGTTTCTTAACTGGAGTTTTATAAACCCCATGATAAATATCCTAATTTTCACAACCATCCTTTATTAACATCTTCAGCTTTTGGCAGTCAGTACCTGTATTTGTGAACAATTATTTTCAAAAATGAAGCATACAAAAAACAAAAATAGGGCAAAGATCAGTGACAAACATCTTGAAAATGCATTAAGAATTGTAACCTTGTCTATTGAATCTGATATCAATTTGCTTGTTCAACAAAAGCAAAATCATCCATCTCATTAATTTGAATTTTTTTCATCTTTATGAAATCCAAACTAAATGCACCGAAACTTTTATATATTAATAGTAAATATGTACCTATATATATCCAATTCAAATTTTTAAAAATCCTGATAAAAAGAAGTTAGTTTATTTTAATAAAACAACATAGAACTAATTTTTATTTCAATTTTTAAAAAAATATTGTATGTGTGGACCTGCAAATTTTTTTCTTTTGCAATGTGGCCCTCAAGAAGTCATAGTTTAGACACCCATATAATAAATGTTCAATACATACAGCTCTTCATCATAGGATCCAGGCTGGGTACTCAGATCGTTAATGAGCTTCAAGTTTCAAATAACAATTTTTCTTTTTAATACATTTGTTTGAAATCAGAACATTTCAAGAATTACTCAGTTCTCAAAGAATTTTTTAAAATAGTCATATGACTATCTGTCACTTCATCTTGCATTTTACAGAATGCATTCTAATATCCACTCCATTAATGTATATTTTCAAAAGTGGTAACAATTCCCACTATTTAACGTAAGCTGGAAATCCATAGGGAACTGAAAGATATATGACAGTGACCAACAACCATTATGGTGAAAATAACTAGTACTTTATCAATCAAAATTCTTTGAAAAATTAATAACAGTTCAACAGATGCATTAACAGATTTTTGAATATTACTTGCAATGCAGGCTTATTTGAGACAAATCAAAGATTTGTTATAACAAGGAAAATACATATTTTTGAAACATCTAAAAATTTCTAGTTGAAGTACTGCCAACACTACCACTTGAATTTTTATCCAGACCTAAGAACAACAAAATTATCCTGATAATTTTATTTAAAATGTTAATCTTTATTCAGATTATTTTCATTTATTACCTAAATAGTACAAAATATCACATAATGTTGGTTTAGCCCAGTGGTCGGCAAACCGTGGCTCACGAGCCAACTGTGACTCTTTGAAGATGGCTCTTCTACAAAATAGCACGTAAAAGTATGAAAATCTTGAAAATACAACCAAAAGTCCGTCAAATTTACAGAAGCATGAAAACAGCTGAAAACATATCCACCAATGTTACTCCAAGGATATTTTATTTGTATAGATTTCGGCATTTACATTGTACTCATTATATGCCAATTTTAACTTGAACGAGAAACCAAATAACATAAAAATAAAGTTTCGTTTAAAAGTATTACGATTTTTAGCTTCTTAGGCCTTTCAAATCTGAAGTTTTTTCCAGTATCTGAATCACACATTTTCCTGGTAACTGAATTTAGGCAACATAAAATACATAGATGATGTTTGGGTTGCATATAATATGCAAAAACTTCAAATTGGAAATGTCTAAAAACCCAAATAATTCGACACAAAATTTCATTTTTACATTATTTGGTGTATCAGGTTAAATTTGCCATTGTAGTGATCCTTGTAAGATTTTCACTGATATATTGATAAAGGGGCATCTTGTGATTGATAAATGGGCCATTACTTACCATCGTATCATTCATCATGAAGCACTTTGTGAGCAGACATTTCCAGAAGAAATTTTCAAAGTTATGGAATTGGCGATTAATATTTTCAACTGCATGATAGCTGAAGCACTATCATCACCAGTTTAAAGAATTTTTAGGAAACGTTTTGCAAAATTCTGCATCAATTTTAACACAAATTATAGCATTTCTCCTTGAAATGGGTGTTTATTATCCAGAACTAACAAACCATCAGTGGATCCAAAAACTTTATTTTATGGTAGACGTTATGTGTCATTTAAATCAGTCAAAAGCTACACAGGAAAGGAAACTCATCAATGCTAGAACAAGTTATTTTATTTAATTTGAAAAAAAATTCTCTCTTTTTCTCAAGATTTTAAAAGAGAAACTTTGATTCACTTTTCAAGCCTGTTGAAACATCGCCAAGAAAATAATTCTGATATTGACATTTGCTACTTCAAAACAACAGTTTTAAACATGGGGGAAGCTTTTCTTAGAAAGTTTCAGGAATTCAGAAACAACAAAGCGACGTAAGCCTTTGTTAAAAACCTCTTAATACAATTATAGCAGAATTACATTTTACTCCCATTAATACTGACACTGGCAACTTTGAAATCTAATTGTTGGATTTAAAAAACAAAGAATTATGGAACTGGAAATTTGAACATTTTAGCATCGATATATAAAAACTGAAGAAAATCAAATGTAAGCTTAGTTCACAGCACAAATGGGACCTGGGAAGGGAAGATATTTTGATTTTTAATACATGGAATAGTATTCCCAACTCATAATCAGCTGGAAAAAAAAAAAAAAAAAAAAAAAAAAAACTAATGTTTATTGTTCTTTCCTTATTTGGGTCTACATGTTCATCTGAGCAATCATTTTCAAGCATGAACCTTATCAAGACTAAACTGAGAAGTCATTTTATTAAAGAGAACTTGGAATCATGCTTAAAATTAAAAACAACATGTGAACTTGAATTAAAAAACTTTCCACGGAAATGCAAAGCCATTGTTTGCATTACTGTTTGTCGCTAACATGATTTATGTTTCTGAATAGCTTACAATTTTATCAATAAAGAGTACCATTGTTTAGTGTAATATCAAGTTTTATCTGACATACCTACATAATTTGACAAAGACTTAAAAAAATGAAGTACTAAATTAATTTCAGGGAGTGTTGTGGAGTGAAAAAAAGAAGTGTTGAGAATTGAGAAAGGTATGTTAAGATGGTTTGGACATACAGAGAGGATGAACAAGAGAAGATACACGAAACGAGTATACAAAATAAATGTGGCTGGGAGAGTCGGAACAGGTTCAATCTCAGAGAACATACCTTGATCAGATTGAGGATGTTCTTAGTAAAAGCCAGTGCCAGAGTACCCTAATTATGTGAATAACCATATACCTACCTATATAATTTAATTAAAAAAATGTGGCTCTCAAAAGAGATTTCAATTGTAGTACTGTTGATAATTGACTCTATTGATTAATGAGTTTGCCAACCATTGGTTTAGCCTATACATTAAAAGGATTATAGCTTTCATTAAAAATGTTAATCTTTATTCATATTATTTTCATTTATTACCTTGGTCTACAAAATATCATATGTTGGTTTCGCCTATATATTAAAAGGATGCATACTTAATAGCACATGCAATTTACCTATTCTTCTCAAACTATACCATGTAAATTTTTATTTTAATTTTACTATCTGTTTTTGTCTGACATGTATAAAATAAAAGCTATACAAAATAAAAGGGGATTAAGAAATATACAGACAGAAAATGTACATGCAGTCAGCTTTGCCAGAATGTGCAATTTTTCACAAATGTACAATTTCTGGCTAATCTGTGCTACTAAAATTTACGTCTGTGCAATTTTGTGAATTTTCTGCTATTATCATTTCTGTGTGCTACTTTACTAATATATCATAAAATGCATACATCCTAAAAAAGTAGCTATGAATATAATTCATCACAGAAAGTAATTTATTCAGCTTACATAAAAGTTGTGAACCAGCAATCGCTAAGCATGAGCATACTTGCACTTAAGTTTCCAACCCCAAGTCACTAATGTTTTTTTATGCGTTTGATTGGTTGCTTTAATATTTTGATCATCTGTGAACAGGTTCACAAAGTCAGATCATAACTGCTGCATTAACTAAAGTTGAATTATAAGGAAACATGAAAGAATGAAAACAGACAAAGCAACAGTTATTACCAAGCTGTATATATATGATCTGGAGGCAGCTAAAACTAATTTAATGAAACACAGTACTTTACGGCATCAGCAAAATTCTTAACAAATCCTATCTCAGAATAGCATAAAGAATGCACATAAAAAGCTTTTTTAATCCAATGGATGGCACTTACCTATTCAGCACTTGTCATTCCTAAGGCCAGAAGTGCTGGCCATTTTATTGAGGCACCTAATAGGTGGCCTCCTATGAAGGGACAGTCAGTTACAACCATGGCCGTCAAACCTAGTCCCTTCGGTATGCCAGTAGGCTCCTCTTATCATTATATTGTCTGGGCAGATAAAAATGTGAACAGAAATACAAAAGTGAACAGCATATGTCAACTTGAATAGAACCTTTCAGTATTTGTTGCTTGCTATGCATCCATAGGCTCCACTGACAATTTGAGTGAAATTTGCAAGAAAGAAATGACATCAGATTCATTACCTGGGATTTTACATTTACACCGGATGAAATGCACAACATTTATATAGTCATTTTACCCAGACTGATTAAACAAGTAACTGAAACTAAAAATTAATTGTTTCTTTTATTTCTAATATTGGATAGGTCTATTGTTTCATGTTGTAAGCACCTCAGTACACCATTATGATGAAAAATAAAATACACGGATTTTAGGGCTTGCTGAAGTTACAGACTTAACAGGTTCCTAAATATCAACACAAGCAAATTTAAGAATACAAAAATGTAGGATTTATTAATAATTAGAATCTTAAGAAATGAAATAAATTTAAATAACAGGAGAGAAAATCAATTAAAAAGCATTAACAATTAAAGTAGAGCACGAAACAATGAATTCCGAAAACAACTACCAACTCAAAAGAATTACTTCAACAATGTTATAGCAAATCAAGTGTGGAAGCATCTGACAACAGATATGAACAAATTAACTGAAAAATAAGACTCTAAATTAACTGAGAATCAATTAAAAGAAGAAATAAGAGATTTAAACAATGGAAAATTAGGAATATGGTTTCAAGATTCTCATCAAAACAAATGTACATAATAAAACAAAGAACTGAGTTTGAGTCCATTACTCATGGATACCACACAGACTAAATCTGTACTGCTCTTAGAGGTCAAATTAGCATACATCACAGAACATTCATTGTAATCTCCAATACCACGTGTTACCAGTTAAAAAATTTGTAGCAACACTGCATGTAGTTACCATGCTAAGGAGGATAACAATTTAAAAATCTCAGTTATAATTACTAAAATAAATTATAATAATAAATAATATATAGCAACTTTTGGACTAAATCTAGCATTTGATACGAAAGGCACTTACTTAGGCCCATTTGAAATTTTCTTACATACTGTCGCAGAAGAAAAGGAAGAAAATTCAAGATAAATTATATTTAAAGTTTATTGAGGAACATATTTCATAAGGATGACTATAAATGTATTTCTACAATTCCAAAAATATATATATAAGAAATTATATATAATTATATATAAAAAATGTGTGTTCGTAGACAAAAATGCATGTTTCTTTAAAGTTTCATGTTATTCACTCCTTGTTTTGTAACCTAATTATTTTTTTTAAATATGAACTATTAGTGTGCTATATTCATGATAAAAATTAATTACAGAAGTTTTTTTTTTCTTTACTGAATTAATAGACAAATAATTTAACTTCCACTTCATGTCAAGTCTGTTACCTTGAGATTATTTTACCCAAAATTAGTTTGCAACTCTGTCTAAAAGGGGCAGTACTTATTCAGCGACATAGAAAAACTAGTCAAGCTAAGTTTGACTACTCTGAATATGTAATGCCTCCTTTATGCAGATTAACAAACTAATTGGGGGTAAAATAATCTCAAGTTAATGGACTTGACATGAAGTGGAAGACAAATTATTCTTATTGATTTGCTAAATTTTTATCTAAAAATTTTAAATTCATTTTTTAATATTTTAAACTGTAGAAATATATTTATAGTCATTTTATGCAATGCATTGTTCAAACTAAACTTTAAATATTAATTTATCTTGAGTTTTCTTCCTTTTCTTCTGGGGCAGCATATGTAAGAAAAATCTGAAAATGGGCTGGAAACTTTAGTCAACAAACTTTGAGACATTTCGCATAATAAAAATATTCAAGTCTTACTTTTAATGACAAAACTGTGTCATATGTGGGCAATGCTTCTGTAGTGCACGGAGCAGTAGGTGTTCTTTGGCTTTCAGTATTTGTTGGAAAATAATGTGATTGTGATCCAGCATTGTTACTGAAGAATACTGAATTACGGAAATTTCTTCTGAAAATATAAAACAGCGCATTACTTTAAATAAATGACATTCCCACACATTGCATCAAATACATTTCTAAATTATTAAAATACAATTTTAGCACTACAAATTAAATTACATTAATTTTTTTATATAATTTTACTCTGCAACACATTATTATTATTATTTGAAATTTTCATAAAATGATTTTCATTTTGTTTCATAATGAACTGAACACACTGACTGCCACATAACCCGGCAACATACATCTAACAACATGCTTAACATATGAAACAGCAGCGTTACATGTTCTGAATATTTTTTCATCAAGTATTATAATATCAATTACATCAAAGCATCTTTACTCTGTAATCACATGCAACAGGTTTACCTTACATTAATTACTTCACTGACATAACATTTCAATGGCCACACATTTTCGTTATTATTGATATTTCATTATTATTCATTCATATTGTAGCTAATACTATAAAGTATTAATTTACTACTTCATTTATATGGTTAAGATTGCATTTTGTTAAAATAATAATAGAGTATGTGATTTACTGTATTAAAAATGCAAATACTTATTTATGCTTTTGTTTTATATCATGTTGAAAAGAAATAAGCTAGTTCATAATTTTAACACCTATAATTTTTAGGAACTGGTTTGACTGGCAATGACTTTTATATTTCAATGTCTGAAGTCCCATTTAAAGAGGAAATTATTTTATGACAATGCACTTGCTTTTATATTCTCAAAATGAATCGTTTTTAACACAGGAACTATGAGTCTGACATCCAAATGGGAAGAGAGTGTTTGGGAAAAACTACAGCAAGAAATAAAAGTTTTTTAATGGTAGGTTGCTTTTATACATTTATCTTGAATTTCTCTCTTATATAAACACTATAACAGAAAATAGGTAGCTGCTAGTTACAGTAAATAATTCAATTTAGAATGAACAATGCATAAAAAAATGAATATGTTAGAAGGTATTTTATAAAAAAAACTAATGACTTTACAATATTAACAATCAACCCAGGTGACACAGAAATGATTTTGAAACAATTTAACCACACAGTGCGTGGGAAGCACCCAAAGTTTTGTGTGGGTTGGCAGTCCAGTGTGAGTAACGACAAAAGTAATTTTCTAAGAATTACTCGTGGATATTGTTACTGGTGGGCTTTTGTTATGTTTTCACAGCAAGGTTAGGTAAACATGAGCACTTGGTCGTTTGTTACTGCTGATGCTGTTACATATGTAGCATTCGACTACGGAGCTTCCAACTACGCATTGATATAACGTATTTGCTGCTGTTTAAGAAGCACTCCTCTTTCCTATACACATTTTTGAAATATAAAACTTTATCATTATAATGAATTTACACTACTTTAAATATATAGTAATACAAATACAAAGTGATACTTTCTGCAAATACCCAATCTATCTGGGAAAGAACACCTTTTAATCTTCTTCGTCAAAATCCAAACATTCATCTCCAGAGCTAAATAAAGAGTCACTTGAAATCTCTTCTAAATCAGCATCTGAGTCCTCATACAACAAATTGTCCTCGGTACCATCCAGTGCATTACTAATGCTGCACTTCAAATGATTTAACGACTGCCTCAGTTTTCACAGCATCCCATGAAGCTTTGAACCATTCACAAATTTGCAAAATGCTTGGCTTCTTCCTTCTTCCTGATGGTGTAACCTCAAAATTTGAAGACTGCATTCAGCAGTTCCACTTCTCCTTTATAAATACCCTAAATGTAGACATCTAAAGGTTGAATCCAACTGGTTAGGCCTCTTAGAATTACAGCTAACCGAGTTTTTAATTCTTTGAGTTTATTTTTAACAACTTCTGTTCTGTGAGAACGAAACTGATCCCATACTAGTAGGACAGGTTTCTTCAACAGTCTGCCAGAGTGCCTCTACCAAATTTTATCTATCCATAACTTCATTCCTCCTTCATCCATCTAGCCAGTTGCGTTAACGTGTATAAACACTCCTTTATGCAATATTTCTTTGGGTAGTGTCTTCTTTTTAAAAATCAATAGTGGGAGCAATTTTGTCCCATCAGCACAGAAGGATAAAACAACAATGTAGTGAGTTTTTTCATGCTCTAAAGTTTTAACGGTAACACTTTTTGTACCTTTGGAATCTACTGTGTTGTTTGAGGGCACATCAAAAGTCAAAGGAACCTCGTCTATGTTTCTTATTTGTGCAAGTTCAAAATTTTCTCATTTTCATGCATTAACGACGAATCAATAAAATTCAATAATTTTTTTCATATTCATCTGGAATCTTTTGCGATATTTTTATTTTAGTTCACATACATAGCTGGTTTTACTTCATGAATCTTAAACACCATGATGTTGATCCAGTAAAATCGGCAATCTCTCTACCAGTCGCTTTTGTTTTCGCTTGATGAATAATAATTTTTGTAGAGACTGAATTCTTGCTTTTCTATGGTCTAAAATCAAAGTATTCAAGTTTGCCTCAAGTTCAGGCCATTGTGTAGTTCCCCTTCATAGGTTCTGTTTACTGTGAGTAACAGGAAATCATGACAGGACAAGGAAACATACCTTAAAAACCATTGTACGAACTGGCAAAAATATATAAAACTTTGCAGCAAAGTCATATGTGCTCCATCAAGAAAATACACAATGTAACACAGTATACATAGTACACACAGTGTAAATTTTCCAATGTAGCCTTGCACAAAGGACAGTGCTTTCATAGATATCACACTTTAAAACATTTTTATATTCTCGATTTTCTTCGTTTTTGAATTTTTGAGAAAGTATTTTTACTTTTTTAAAGCAAATAAAGAAATCAATTAAAAAAAAGTTTTACTTAAAAATACAAAGTTTAAGAACTACAGCTATTTTGTGCAGAAGTAATTTTGTACATGAATTTGGGGGGAAAAAAAAAATCCCACCTTTTACCTGGTGAGAGTTTGGCCAGAAATCACCCATGCAAGATGGATTAAGATAATTTTATGAATACTGCAACAGAGCAGCATACATGCAAGTTGATTTCCTATTAAATTTGCTTTTAGGAAACATGGCAATCAAGTCTTAATCATAGCATACCTGTTTCAACAAACACAAGATACCTGAAAAAATTTACACATTTCCCATTTTTGACAACTGCGAGAGCATTTGCTATTATTTCTGGCAAGCCAGTACTTATTTCCAGCAATATGAAGCACATTTCCACAATTTTCATGATGTTGACAACCTGCTTAATGAATGTATTAGACCAAAAAACAGTATAAATACATGTAACCTGAGCCAGACTGTTTTTAAAAAGAGTTAAAAATTTAAAAAATAAAAAAATTTAGATATCTGTAATTTCCAATTATCTACACCACCCTAAAAAGTACTCATAAAGCAACGCACATCTTCAAAATAGACAATACACATCATCAAAATGTATTTATGTAGTAACTCAAGTATGTGCATGCGTACAGCAGACAAGCACTAATTTTTATCTACAAATCAGACAGCCATTAGTGCTTGTTTTTGTCGCATAGAATGCACTTTTTGTCGTAAGGAATTGTAAAGGGACTGAAATCTGCCAGCTGATAAAAAAGTAAGCGATTCATTTCATTAGAAATATGGCATTATCCCCAACAGTACAGAATGCAAAAATTCACATTCCATAAAATCCATCACAAATGGCCAAATCTTTAAACTTTCTTGTTTTTTAAGCAAAAACAGATCACTGTATACATGAAAAGAAGCAATTGCAAATGCCAAATTTGTGAATTCTGAAATTTTTTAAAAGTGAAACAGACTGTTGTATACACTGGAAGAACAGCACACAAAAAGCGATTTCTTTACAGAGGTAAGTGTTTTCTTATAGATGTTTCCTGCTTTTTAAAATTTTATTAATTTATTACTCTTTTACGGATTTCTTAGTTTGGCACAATTTTGAAAACAACTATTCCTTTTTGCATATTAGCTTGGAAAACATTTTGTTTGAAGAGTTAGTAACTTCAGAGGGGTTTGTGGATAATCAGAAAGTATCAGCATTCCTTATTAACAATGTACAGATATTCATTCATATAAAAGCATACATTATTATTTGTAGCGACATATTGGACAACATGCTTAAATATATGAAAGCTCAATTAAAACATTAATAGCAGATATATTTCAAACTTACAGCATAAATTTTAACAGATTTAGATACTCAATGGAATTTAATAGCACAGCATTTCCTCCCCTTAATGGAAAAAGGAGACATACATTCCTTGAAAAGTATGTATCCTTTCTTTATATAGAAATTAACAAACCTTTGCCCAACTAAAGACTGGATTTAATATTATTTTAAAAGATGTAGATACTAGATAAACTACGTCAACTGCAAAAATGCTAGATGATACGCATTCAAGCAATAAGTATCAAGCTATTTTTAAATCTATAATCGTCTAACATTTGTAAATATACCATAACAGTAGCTTAACTATGAAAATAAGCCATCTGTTGAACATCCAAACAAATTTTAACTTCTTACAGAAACAAAACTAGGCATTAATTAAATATTTTCCATGAATTATATTACTCTTAATTCTAAATAAAGAAAATAAAAAGTAGCATTAACAAATTATTAGGAACCAGCAAAATATATGTACTACAACCTGTCTCTCAATTTTTTTTCCAATATCTTTTTAAACACTTAAATTCTACTGAAAAATTTCAAGCACTGATAAAATTTTAAAGCCAAAACATACCTTTTACACACATGCCATGCAACTAACAAACAACAAAGGATGCTTGCAAAGGCAAGCGATAATCCAAGTGCAGTAGGAAATATGAAGCTATGTGTTTTAGGAGTTTCTCCACCAACTGAAAAATAAAAATATTTATACAGTAAAAACATGAAGATGATTTACTCCATATTAGTGAATAAGTATATAAAATTAATACAGATAGTTCATCAATATATATGAGGTGGAACTTGGTAGCAACACTAGTGAGTGCATGTCTTAAAGTGGAACCAAGGTTTCTCATTTACAACATACACTAATATCTATAGTACATGGATTTTTCCTTACCAACACCACATGCACATTGTTAGAATATGCAAAGGAAAAATTAACCATGACTAACTGTCTATGGACCTGTATTTTATTTAATGAAATATATAGGAAATAATTCACTTATCTGTAAAAACTAACATGCTCAAGAATTTTCATAACCTCAATGCAGTGATTTATTTACACAGAAAGAATTTTTGTCTTTTTACACTCAGCTAAAGAAACAAAAACATTATCTGAACTCTATACTCAGCATAAGATTTATCAGAATTCCATCAACTCAGAAAGATAAATGATTTTTCTAATAATTGCCATCACATCTTTAACATTGTTTCCAAAATATTAAACTAAAATAAAAATGTTAAACATGATATCAAATAATATTATTGCATGTGACCACTTCTAACACACGTAGTGTGATAAGACAGTCTCATGCAGTTGCTTTATAGTTAAGTAGCACTTATGCCCCAAAACAGAAACAGCAAAGTTGTGCATACAATGATTAAACATGGCCACAGCTGTACAACATGACACTGTCAAGGTCTTTTTGAGGCATAAGAGGAATTTTCATTGGTTTAGAGCAATCGCACAATGGGTATATGCCTTCAGCGAGACATGGCAAAGTGTAGGCATGTCTCAGTTGGGTTGCTACAACATCAATGAAGAGAAAGTGCAGGTTATTGATGTGTTGTGGAGACTTATCAACACCAGATAAATTTAAAAGCTACACTGTGATACGCTTACTGCACAACAGTCTGCTTCACTTTCTGGAGGAACATTTGGATATGAGAAAAATGCACTGCTGTGGGTTCTACACTATTTAATGGAAATACAAAAATGGCTACTATGTGAAGTTGTTCAAACATGCTTGTAGCCCTATGGGAGAAGCTTTCTTAAGTCATAGTACTATGCTGGAAAAAATATGGGCCAGATTATGAGAGTTAAAACAAATAAAAATAAGTTATCACCATGAAAGTCAAACTTTCATCAGAATCCCAGGATAGGAAGGTTAATTGGATTTTGAGTGCAACTAATGATGGTAATACGTGACCTATATTGTATCAAGCCAGATCACAAATTCCCAGTATTATTTTTCAGTTTATGAACAAAATCTGCAACCAAGCTGAGTTGTTAGCTCAATGTGGCTGGGAAGTCCTCAACTATCACCCATATTCCTGAGTCATATGCATAGTGTCTCTGGGTGAAACAATTAATCAAATTATATGTAAATGAGAGAACACTTTCAGCACACAATTAGACAATGATGACATGACCTAGGAGCTTCAGGATCATGGTTTATCTTGCTTTATATTACTCTGTACAGGAATTTATGGCAAAACACAAAATCATTCTAATTAGTATAATTCACAAAATTCAATTCTAGAAGGAACTATTTTCAAGATACACAAGACAAATAATTGGTGAGTACAATATTTTTGTGGCTTTTTTACAGGCATTAAAATTTTCTGGAAAAAAGTCATACTAGATTATATTTACATATATGATTGAAGGATTAAGGAAAAACATTAAAGATGTTAGGAACAGAAGAGGGATGACTTTGAATACACATACGGAAAAGTTAGTTGGAAAAGAATTTTCCCATGAAAAGGTATTTCTTCAGTTACTTTTCACATCTGAAATTTGTTATTCAGCAATTTATGTTTTTATTTTTAGTAGCAATCTTCAATAAAAAATCAAATAAGAAAAAGGAAAAGAATCAGGAAGAAAATACTGAAGTATATTCTATTCTTTTATAACCTTCAGAGTGGTTTAACCACTTCTATTTGATTATACTTTTCACATTATTTTACTATTATTTTGTAATGATGTGGGTATTTTAATGGACAAAATATGAAGAGTTAAGGAAGAATTAACATGAATATAGGAAGTAAATGCTGTATAAATATGGCTGTTAGTAGTCATTATTAGCTTCATTCTAAAATATCTGTAACATTAATTACTTTGCATTGTCCTTCAAAACTGCTGATTATCTAGAATTTTAAAAACACACAAAAAATGGTTTTTATGACCATAACAAAAAAAAAAAAAAAAAAAAAAAAAAAAAAAAAAAAGGACAAAGAAAAAATTAACTTTTATCACTATGTGACTTGCATAATCTACCTTTATACATCACTTGAAAAGTAATTTAATTTATTAACTGTAAGCAGCTTTTTAGAAGCATTAATAAATTTCCACATTAAGAAAACATTTTAAATGTATAAAATTTTATTGTAAATTTAAACAACTTAAAAAAGGTTTACTGAAAAACATACTTTTCACACACAATTTCTTCACTTCATTATATGTAAATCCCATGTGACATTCACATGTACTTCTGTATGGAAGCTGTGAGCAATAGGAATTAGGATCATAATAACTGCACTCTTCTGAATATTCACACCTTTCACTGTATTGTCTCCCTAAAAAAAAAAGAAAATAATGAAAATTTCTAAAAGTAAATCAGCATTCCTATCTCGCAAAGTAGAACAATTCTGGTAATAACGTTCATTATTTATATTAATATTACCTGCATTATCTACTACCGTGACCTCCATGTAGCATCAAACTAAGGCAATAAATAGTAAATAAATACTTACTTCTTTGTTGTAACCACATCTTTAATATCTGACATGTTCTTTTAAGCATGCAGTAAGAATTGTGTTGAGTGAATAAATATGTAACTCGATATAAACAAAAGGTAAACAAATTTCTCTCTTACTTTATGTACTTCCAATATGATGCCAGGCAGCCAAAATAAAAAAATAATAATTAAAAAAAAAACTTGATTGATGAAGAAAAAAGGCATTCTTAATTTCTTTCCAACCTTTAACTACAAAAAAATATATATACATATATTACAAAATGAAACAAAGCATATTACATTGTGGTTATTTTCATTCTGATCATCTAATTCAGTTCAGTTTTAAGTTAATTTTTAATCAGTTCTGGAATCACTTCAGTTTGTCATAACACTTTCACCTTGTGTTATGATCACTTAATAACACAAAGTCCCAACAATCAAAGATCTGGTTTCTTTGGGGATCGAACAACTTTAAAGGGTTATAAACACTGAATAGGATATATGAGCTCTTCGTTCTTGGTTTTTACTTTTGCAACTCTAATAACGTTCTTTTTGGGATATATTTCTGTAACTTTAGCTAAAGGCCAGTGGAAGAATTTTTGGTTCTCACTCGTTACAAGCATTATCTCCTACAGATATCATAGGTCCATTCTTACATTATTTTCTTAAACACTTTTAACTGTCTTGTGCTTTCTCAGATCCCCATGGACCTTTTGCAGACATGAGTTTCTTTTCCAAATGTAAATCTTATAGATACTATCCATACCAGGAATGCGAGTTTCTTTCATTTTTAACAGAAACACACTCGGTGTTAATGGAACCAAGTCATCGATATGCTATATCAATGATCTCAGAGGTTGAGAATTTATGAAACTTTCTGAGAAACATGGCAAAGTGCATAATTCTTTATAATTTAGAGATGCTTATCTAATTACTCTTTGAACTATGTACCCTGCTACTGCAATCAGTCTTTCCCACTAGCCACCACACCAATGTGAAGCTACAAGAAAAAATTTCCATGTTATATACTTCAAATTTGTTTCATTTGGCAAATCTGTCCAATCTATTTCAGACAGTGCATTAGCTGCTCCAATAAAATTCATGCCATTATCAGAATAGCTTGTTGAAAGGTGCCCTCGATAAGCAATAAATTTCAATAACTCAAAAAGCTGCAGTAGATAAGGAGGTAAACCAGGTAGCTAGTTCTGTAGACAGCACATGTGTAAATACTATATTAGCACTTTTTCTCACCTTACAAGAAAAGAGAATCTTTTAGATGCATTCCAAAAACTTCAAATGTCAAAGCATCTCTCACTCTGTCTTCAGGCACAGGCAGTGGTTCAATCTGAAATTACACCTAGTAAATCTTTTACATTGTACACATTGTTTCAAAACTCATCTAATAATGTTTCTAGTCAAAATCCAGAAATTTTTGCACAGGTGATTCATCAAAATTTACACTCCAGTATGTTTTAGTTTTTTGTGCTTCCACATAATTTGTTTTTTGACAGTGCTATAATCTGATGGGGGGAAAAAAAAAAAAGATAGAAAATTTATCTTGCCCTTCTTTGAAATACTTGAATTTTTACTCAAATATCAGTTCTTTCTCATCAATTACAGAAACTAACAAACATTATCATCAATACCATTCAGAAATCCTTCCTTATGAATAAAGTTTCATGAATTACAGTTCATTAGCATTCTCTACTTCCTTCACAAAGAGTTAACCTTAAATTTGTGAGTTCTTTGCCTTTGCATACAAATAAAATCAATTTATCAAGGCTGATATTCTTATGATTTTAATGTAAGAAAAAAATCATGTGTCGTATCCCTCAGAGTCTATATGTGCTTGAATTAGTTTTCTTCTCTGAATTACTAATATCAATACAAGAAACTACTTCACATACTGATAATTTTTCTTCAGGTTCTAACAATCATCTTGGACTCTCCCCATCACTGCTTTTGAATTAGTGTATCAGGACAGCACCTTTTTTAAGGAAGAACATCAGAGTTAAACTGGCTCAGAACTTAATTCTATTCATTCACGTTACTTGAAGATCTTACTTCTTTAACTCGATTCATTACAAAAATAGACCAACATTCCACATTCCATTTTTTTTTTTTTTAAATCGAATATATAGCAGAGAACAGTAAGCCACAGCATCTACAAGCCAATATTTCAAGTCCTAATATTGACAAGGTACAACACAGAATGATGCTTTTAATAGCTGGCAAGAAACATTAGAACATTAGATCCCTTCTTAGCTCTAAGAAATATACAAGTGGCATACACTTCTTCAAAAGCAGCCCCCCCCCCGGAAAAAAGGAAAGTTTTCTTCTTGAATCAATATCAGAAAATGTTCTTTGTGATCAGTTTTTTTTTTTTTAAATTACTTAAAAGCTTTACCCATTTTATAAAACTGACTAGCTTATTTGGAAGTTTGATGTGGTAAAGGTTGACAGATTTGAACATCTTTAACAACTAGGTCAACTTCTCAACCGTGTTTTCATCTAACCACTCATTCAATGCTTCCTCAAAGGTTTGTGAGACATCCATTTGCCTGTAATGTATTCACTATTGATACTAATTCTTGTGAAAAATGGTACGTGGTCAAGGTTTGGAAACCTCCTACTAACCTTTGTCATACCTACTCCAGGTTTTATGAAAATGTACTTTGTGTCTTCTTCCCATTCCGGTATGGTTTGTTTCTCAGTTGCATCAGTAATGTCTAGTGCATCTCACCCTTTCTTAATAATGAAATACTCAAGCAATTCCAGAACTTTTTTCTTCAGAAGGCATTTTGCCCATGAATGTCATCCTGATAAGATCTGAAAGGTTAGTAATCCACTGGACAGCTGTAAAATATTTCCGGTAAGCAATTTTCCAGTCACATCAGCTGCTCTCAATAGACACATTTGTTTGTCTTTAAACTTACCTTCCGACCCCATTTGTGCAAAAAAATTATCTTTTATAATTCTTTTCTTCATGAGCCACTTCTTATTCTAGGTATATTAGAACATGTCTTTTCTTGGTCATAAACTTCAAAATTGCATACATAATCACCACAAAGATTTGTCAAGAACACCCAATAACACTAATGCGTTTCAGCAACTTTAATAAATTTCTACTGTGGACCCCTGAGATAAGTGTTCAAGGTCTGCATCAAAACGTCTTGAGTACATAACTTATTAGAAAGAATAAGATCGTTTCCGTTAGACTTTTCCTCAAGATCAGTTTTTTGTCCTGCACACATGATAACAAGATGTCTCTCACGACACATAGCCAATAATATATAGTGGATGTTATCAAGCTAAGCTGAAATTATATTTTACTGATCCCAAGGAATTTCACTTAATATAGCAGATTGCCCTGTTCCTTAACTTTCTGATTTGATCCAGCTTATTAATTTTTGCAGGCTGTTATTAATACAGAAATTTTATGAAAATTATAAAGTTTGCACTTTCGATTATGTCAAAAAGAGTTTCTAATTCTGGAGCTGCAAAAGGCTTTACAAAGCAAAAGCATGTTTCTATGTCCATTAAACAAAAAGTGGAATTACTACAAAAAAGGGACAAAAGTATATCCGTCTCAATATTATGCAAGAAGTATGGCACTGGAAAGTTAACTGCATATCACATAAGAAACAGAAAAAGAAATCTAACACCCAACTTGCAATGCATAACAGAAAAATTTTTATTATGCTAGAAGTGACGATCATGACAAAGTAATGATTGAATGGGTCAGATGGCATCGCTGCAAGGGGGTGCCTTTGACAGATACAGTGTTAATAGCTCAAGCCAAAATATTTCATGAAGAAAGGAAACTGAGTACACATATTTGACAGGCTGGTTACCCAAATTTAAAAATTATAATGGTATAAGGCAATTAATTTCAGGTGAAAGCTGCTGAACTATTTGCAGATGAATTCATTGAACTCATTAATAGTGAAAATTTATCTCCAGAACAAATTTACAATGCTGATGAAACTGGTCTTTTCTGGCAATACGTACTGCGAAATACTTTGGCAACCTCTATAGAAAAGGCTCCAACTGGTGTCAAAAATTCCAAAGTGAAACTAACAATTTTAGCATGCACAAATGCTGCAGGAATGCATAAGAGTAAACTTTTCTTAATTGGAAAAAATAGATAAGCTCAAGCATTTAAAGGAGTAGATGAAATTAAAAGAGCATCGATGATACAAATGTTAACGAATGATTTGTTTGAAAATCATTTTATACCCGATGCTTAGCAACATTTGAATTCAGTTTGTTTACCTGATAATGCAAAAATTGTCCTGATTGTAGACAAGTGTTCCACTCATACTTCTCTTAAAGTTTTAATGAAAGATAATGTATCCATATTACTCTTTCTTCCAAATTGTACGTCCATCATTATGCAAATATAAAGTAGCATTTTAAAAATCAATGTTAAATTTCTTGAATAATGGCAAGACTGCTTAAGAATTTTTGAAAATTTGTAATTTGCTGTGTGAAGCATCGTAATATCATTCGAGGATGTGACTCAAAAAATTTTAAAAAATACTTAGCATAATTCATGGCCAGCTATATTTCATGGTGAGGATGATGAAGATCATAGCCACAAATTTAAAACTTTTCGGATGTCAGAAACCAAAGATGAAACTTTCCAATTAATGGATTTTGTAAAGAAATGTGAAGAAGTGGTAATAAATGAAAATGATATAACAGAAGCTTTTCATTGCGATGACAATGCTCCAATCATCAGTCAATTAACAGACAGCAAAATCTGTAGTACGATTTTAGATCCAGAAAATACGACTACCGATAGTGAAGAAAGTGACAGGTTATTGAAAATGAAAA